ATAATGTTCCTTTATCCCTGTACTTRCAGGTGCAATATGCTTAAGCAGAATCTTGATCCTGCCTTACAAATTATTCTTACTAATTTATCAAACTTTTATCAAGTGAAAAAATCGTGAACACAGCCTTTAAATGTATTTTTCATCCACTCAGCAATTTTGGGAGGTTGTGTTGGAACAATTAATACTACAGATTACATTGGATTAGTGCAAGTCAACGAATTTAAAACAATTAAAACATCATATTAACCAAGACCTATCAGCAGGACCCACTATGTGAAGATTATATTCTACTTGCCCAAACACTAATTATATTCCATATTTTTCATCCTTTATATGGTTCTTCAACCTCTGAAAATGCTCCCCAAGTTAAATATTCAATAGAAACTGGGTGTGATTTTAAGCACTAACCTATCAGAAGCACCTGCAAGGGTAGTGGGAGTGGGGAGGCAGGTGTTTGGATGGAAAAAAAGAAAAAGAATGTGTTGGTTGACACAACCATGTTGACAAAATATAAATAGTGGGATTGAGGAGGGGGAAATTCCTTGTCAATCACATTTTCCCATTAAAACTGTAGACAGTTCACTTGGTACCAGCAAATGAGGCTTCTGTAATATTAGTCCCTTTAATGACTTTCTTTGTTCTCTATATAATTATTTCTGTTTAAGTTTTAAAAAGTTGGGTAGAATCTCACTCAACAATCTTTGTTTCTCACAGTGGCATGTTTGTATGACCTTCCCAGTCACCAAAGAATTTGTACATAGGCAATTCACTGACTCCCATTCAACTTCCACAGATGATCACTTCCCTGAAATGAGTAGGGAGTCATCTGCGTTGTCATAGATATGTGTCATAGCAGAACACAGAAAATAACAGCTAAATCAGCAATAGTTCTGTATATTCATAAAATCTGAAATGTATAAATCACACTTTTAAATCACAATCTTCTTTCCATATCCCCAGGGAAGGAGGAAAGAAATTRCAGATAACCAGACTAGATTTCTTCTCTGCTATTTGCACTGCAAACAGCTAGAACAAGTCAACACATAGACTTAAGCTGAGGGAAGTAAAATTTTGGCCACGGACAGAAAGAGTAGGATAAAAGCTAGAAATGAGTCAGAGATGACCCTAAGATAACAAGCAGTGTTTATAATTCTTATAAATTCCTCCCAAATGACAAGATTTTGTTGGTCTCATAGTGACCCTGTGAAACTGCAGCTCGCTCAGGAATTTCTGTCTGTTTAGTAAAAGTCCTCACTTCCAAATAGCCCCTACCTTTTGAAATGAATGAGGGGCCAGGGGACAGAACTTAGGAGGAGGTAGGCGATGCAGAAATGGGGCAGAATGTGGAATTGTGTGGGACAAAACCATATAGCTCATTTTGGAGTTAGGGCAGCAGGTGTGAGAGCTCTGGAAGTTTCAGAGGACAATAACTGCAAAACATACTAGACACAGGACCTCACACATGCTGGAGATGGACAAAGGCACAGTTCAGTAGATGCACAAATATATTTTTTTTAAAAACCTTATCATTGATTGGCATCACAAATCATGTCTATAAGGGCAAAAATGCTATTGATTGGCATCACAATTTATGTCTATAAGGGCAAAAATGCTATATTTGAGCATGAGGAGAAAAGTGATTGCAAGTGGTTTGAGAGAATTTATTACAGAAGGATAATCGTTCTTTAGTTTAGACCTAGCAAAGCACCTGGGTAGTAGCCTAAAGAAAAAATGAGAAGAGATGAGAGTACCATATACATGAAAGTGATCTCCCTAAGAATTGAACCTTTTTTCAATTGTTCACATGTCATTAACCACATTCTTCCTGTTCAAGACCAAGCATGTTATTAAACATGACAAAACATTAGTGCAAATAAGAATAATAAAAACTCCAACAAAAAACATACACTCCAGAGGAGGTTCTAAGATTGCTGGATCAATCATATAGTCATACAGTTGTATAGTTTTTCTTGTTTTGCACTCAACATGAGGCAAGATCTCTACTGTACCCAAATTATAAAATAGAAAATACTGAGACACGCATTAGGCAAAGAAACAGTAAGAACATCAAATGAGGACAGATCTGCAAAAGTTGTAGGTAATTTTTAGAAATTTTTATTAAACTGTCTAAAAGGTCCCTGTGATGCATGACATTCTCCATGCACTCTGCAATTCTCTATGTGCTGAACGTGTGAAATCTCATATTTGTTGTTAAATAGGTGGCTGTCCCATTGGAGTGTGTTTCTAACAACAGGCAGTGAATTGGATTGCAAATGTATTGAAGATGCAGCTTCAGCCTAGCAGCACAAATTTACCTCACTCTGCATTTCCAAATTAGGGAGTTAACAGTAACCACAGCACCTTGCTGGTGCCATGCAATTCCCGTGGCCCCAGAAGGGAAGGAAGTGGGAGATGAAGCCCATCATGGGAGGCTACTTCCTTCTTCATGAAACCCCAGTAGATTTGGAGCTAGCCAATAAGACAGCTAAGTACAGGTGTTTCTCTGCTACCTAGGTAGCACAAGAGATCAAGAAACCATTGTGATCTTGAGGCCAGTGGAGAATAAGAAGTCACTTTGTTCAGTCTCAAAGTGAATAACTAAAAGACTRGAAGCAAATTAAAAATTAGAAGAAGAGGAGCCATGAACAATGACAGTAAACTCTCAACACAAAGATAGTGTAAGTGAAGACAAGAATGAAAGCAGATCAGCAATTTATGTTGTATGGAGTGATCACAACCCATTCATGTTGACAGAGAAAGAAACCAGTGAATAGGAAGACACTCGAGCTGAAAAGAGCACTGAAAGGGACTGGGAAGTTTAGGCTGGAAGAAACTGAGTGTTTCTGTAGATGATGTGTTTGGAGTGAAGAAAGTGCCTGAATTTCCAGTTTCAGCCCTAAAATCAAAAGAAGAAAGGGGCTGTAAAAGAGAAGGAAATTAGACTTGTACATAATTGCCTTCCTGTTTTTTTTTCTAGGATGCCAGTATGATTTTGTGAAGAGAGATGAGAGTGAAGAGGAAAGGGACAAAGAAAAAAAAGCTACCAAAAAGTTGGTGTCCTCTGCAAAAGTGTTTGGCCAGAAAGTTGGCAGGACTATGACTGCAAGGCATTGACTTCATAAAGCACAARGTTTTACTATATTTTTTTCAAAAACGTTGTTCTCTGAAGACTTATTTTTTCAAAACATCATTTAGACAAATCCCTCGCATTTGACAAGCCCACGAGCATCGTTAAGGTTTATCAAATTAATTTTATCTGCCTRTTGTGGCTTCAGTGTACCTTGCCCCTGGCGCAGGATCCCAGGGAACTCAACCCGAGCAATCAGGCTGATAACAAAGAGCGCGTTGTGCGCCCAGCGCCGCCGCGAACGCCCGCGGAGGGACCGGCGGGGCACGGCCCGGCCCAAAGGGACCCCGCGGGGAATCCGCGCTCAGCCCCAGGCTTTTTACCGCACGGTGACACCGGGGCCACCGCTATCGCCTCCGCCGGCAGAGCAGAGCCCGTGACACCGGGGCTCCAGYGAGCGGCGAAGGACGGGCAGCCAGAGCAGCACCACGGACACTGCCTCGGCCTCCCGCCCACCGGGGGCTGCGGCGGAGCGCACCGCGGGGAACGGGTGCGGCGGAAAGGGAGACAAGGGTGCTCTTCCCGACTCCCGTCTCAGCCATGACCGCGAGCAACCTGTGTTTACACAGGGCGACTCCCAGGCTCTCAAGCTTAGCGCCGAGACAAAATTTATTGTGGTTATTCCAGGGGACGGAAGAGCCCTCCGGTTATTCCAGGGACCGGAGGAAGAGAACGGGCGGGGGAAGCGACGGCGGGTCAGAGCGGCACCGGGTCTCTCCTCGGATGGTTTTACTARTCAGCAGTTTGGCAGTAACTTTCCGATGTAGCCCTTTTACTTTGAAACAAGCGTTTAGCCGAAAATGTCAGTGTAATAACTCAGAGATTCATCGCCTAATGAGACATGAGCCGCGTCCTCGGTCATTGACACCCGCCGGTCCTCCCGGTGCTTGGCGAGCGACAGCCTTGCCCCCAGTGATTCCCGTTCTGACCCCAGATGTCCTGCTGTCCTTGTCCTCGGTGGAGMCCGGTGYCTTTCCGCTTCTCCCCAACAASCCCCTATTTTGGGCTGTCGCGTGTTATTTTGGGTGTCTTTGCTGGGGCCACCTGCGGCTGTGACGGTGTCAGCCCGGTGGAGGCGGGAAGCGGGGGAAAAGGAGGCGGGGGAGTGACAGACAGGATCCTCACTGTGCCACTGAGCTGGTGTCATTTGTCTTTCAACCTGAACACTGTGATTTTTCTTTTTTTTTTCGTCCCATGGTGATTTTCTGTAATTGAGGCTAAAWGAGCGCTCGGAGCTGACCTTCCTTCTCACCGGCCGCGGATCCCGGCGCATCGCTGCCCGGCCCCCCGAGGCGCGGTGTTTTTCCGTCTCTCTCCCCAGCCCATCCCCATCCCGGAGCGCTCCCCCCGCCGCCGCGCCGCTCCTGCCTCTCCTCGCGTGACCTTCCCAACATGGCGGCGCGGCCGTGAGGGGCCTCCCCGGCGAGGGGGCGGTGGCGGCTGTCAGCCGGGCGGGGCGGGACCCGGCCGGGAGCGGGCTGGGGCGCGGGGCCGGGCCGGGCGGTGCGGGGCGGTCCCGGCGCCGCGCACACTGACAGGCGCTCGGCCAGCAGACGGCGGCCGCGCCGGGGTGCAGAGCCCGCCGCGCACCCTCCCACCGCCGCAGAGGAGCCGGCAGGGAGACGGCGTCGCCTCGGCGGGGAGACGCGGCGCGAACGGAGCTGGAAAACCCCGACCGCCCCCGTACCTGTGCCCTCCGGGGGTGGTGAGTGGGTGTAGCCGCCGCCGATCACCTGGGATCCCGCCCCKCAGCGCCTCCGCCTCCCGTCCTCTCCCGCCCGGGGAAGGCGGCACCGCCACTGCGAGCGAGCGAGCTCCGGGCGGCCGCGGGCAGCAGGAGCGGGGCCCGCGGGAGGAGCGAGGCGAGGGCTGCGGCGCCGGTGGGGCTCGCCCGCTGCCGGCAGCCGGGGCGAGGCGGGCAGGAGGGGCGGCGGCCCCCGGCCGGCGGCGCCCGCGGCGCGGGGCGCTAGAGCCGCGGCAGGATGAACCCCAATGTCACCTACGCCAGTCGCAAGCGGCGGAAACCTGTGCAGAAAATGTAAGCGGCCCCGCGGGCGGGCGAAGGGCGAGGCGAGGAGGGGAGAGCGAGCGACGGGCTTCCCGGGGCGCACCGTCCTGCCGCGCTCCGCGCCGCGGGGGCTCGGCGGGGGCGGCCGCGGGGCTGTGCGGTGCAGGGGCGCCCGGGAGCGCTGGTGCCTCGGGGTGCCGGCGGGATTGTTGCTGTTTTTGCGCTTTTCTTCCCGCACCCCCCAAAAAAAGGAGGGAGTGTCGGGGCGCGGAGGGTCGAGGCGGTGAAGGAGGGAGCGGTGCGGGCAGCGCGGCGCAGCCGGCTGACCTAGATTGGGAGGCATCTGAGGTGACGGCTCGGCGCGGTGGCTGCGCTCGCCCCGCCGGGTGGGTACCGCGGGTGCGCACCCCCTGCGCTCCGCTCCGCGCCGCCGCCGGCCCGCTCAGGTGCGGGGAGCGCGGAGTCGGAGCCGGGAAAAGCCCGCCCGGTTCCCACCGTGTAGGGCCTGCCTGGGAGGGAGGGCTGAACCCCCGGCTTTAACCCTCCAGTTTAACCATCCGGTTCCGCATGAGATGCGTTTATTTTGTGTAGAGTCAAAGAAACCTAAGTGCGTTCCCCAAGAGGAAGGAAAAAAATTCTGGCTGTATGGTGGCTTTTTGTTTATTAATTTATATTTTTGAAACTGTCTGAACAGCTTAGTGCCGGTGTAATTTKGCATGATGCACCTGCTTTAGGACTGCATCCTAGGTTTTATATGCTTCACTAAAACGTTGCTCTCATGAGAGGGGAATTTTCAGGCTAGAGGAGATGCTTAASTTGTACTTTCAACTGGAAGTCAAGAATCTGTAGGTCATAAAAAGTAGCAAAGGTAAGCTACTAAGTTGGAAGAAAAATAAGCAAAGCTCAAAAAAAATCCCTGTGCATTTCTATGGGGTACTTTTGTAGATGTAAAATAACTGCAAGGACTACAAAAGCATTAAAGGAGAAAATGACAAATATTTGATGAAATCATATTGTGGATTATATATTTTTAGATTCACAGCAGACAACTGTCTTGGGGCAAAGGGAATTACTTGAGTGCTTGCTTCTTTACGGTTGGAGTTGTTAGAATGAATGCATGTACATAGCTTTTTTTTTATTATTTTTTTTTTACCCTACAAGTTAGAAAAAAGGTTTAAAAATGTGTGTATGTATATATTTAATTCTCCTGCTAGAAAATGCATTAATTATGAAAAGTCCAGTGCCTGCTTTTTTTGACCATTCATTTCCAAATAAAAAAGTAGAGATACTTAATGAAATTCACACTGTAGGTTTTGATTTTTAAGAAGGAAATCAGTGTTTGTTCATGAGAAAATGAAATGTATTGGTGGCATGTGTAGCCTACTAATAGCTAAAGGCAAATGGTTCTGATTGTCAAAGTTTGAGGTATTCTGTCTTGCTGGTAAGATTGCTTAATGTCTGGCTTATTACTTAATTTTGGTTATCACTGACTAGAGGATGTGAAACCTTTTGTTTTACCTTACTGGAGTGTCTATGTAAGTAACCCTTTTCCTTCTATCTTCTCATTATATAAGTTGGCTGAACTGCTGTGATTTGTTGGATTTGAAGCTCTTTTTTATTACTAATGGGAACTATTTGTCTATTGAGGGACTTTGCCGTAGGATCGGAGGGAGATGTTTCTTCTCAAAATCAAAGTATTCATATTTAAATAGTTTGTTCACCTGTAATTGAGGTGGAGGCTGATTATTAACCCACCTTACTTGGGTTACTGGAAATTATTTTTATGTGAGGCGTTTATCTCATCTGTAGTGTTCATGTATTTATTTTCTTCTTAAAATACCTTATGCTCTTTGGTTGCTGATTCTGTTAGGCCAGCCTTGGAGAAATTGCTAGTGGGTCAGAGGGCTCTGATTTCTCACATAACTACTTAGAGACCACACCTTTAGGCCAAAAAAAGTGGGAGAGACAATAAACTTTTTTTAACTGATTGTGGGAGAAAAGAACRATGTACTTGATCCTGGCTAATAAAGGTTTGAAACTACTGTTGTTTTAATCTGTTTGAAGCTGATTTTTTCCTCCTGTCAGTAGAATTCACAGCTATTGAAAAAAAAAAAAAAAAAGGTGATACATTACTGGGGCTAGTATCTTTTATAGAAGAGATTGTATCTGTTGATAGTTCTCATGTTTTGTTTGCCATATATGTAACCCTTAATGGGGCATAATAATTAGTAATCTGTGGAGACAGCTTGCAGAAATGGAAGAAGGTCTAAATATAATGCCATAGGTGCCATGGGAAAAAAAAATTAAATAGAAGAAATACTTCTTGTTTCAGGTGCATGACTTTTCATGGTCATAACTCTATAAAAATTTAAGAAATTTTCCTCCTACAACTCCCAGTATTTACTAWGTGCCCTACAGAGAACTGAATTTGAGAGAGAGTCACAGGCTGTTGCCTGACAGTGTTGAAATGTGCTTTTTTGATTCAGTCGGGAATTACAGTATGGCAGCTGAAAAAGAAAAGCAGTCGTGGGGGAACATAACAGGCAACTRTTCTTGCAATTCATCTTATTATCTTGTCATGTAAGGGAAGAGAAAAAAAAAGATGGTAAACATGTGCACTCCAAGTGCTTGTGATATGCTACAGAAATCACTTTCTCAGTACCTTGGAGTCTTTCAATTTCGTCCCTCTTTAAGGTTTGAACCCTGCGAGTCCCCCTGGTGGCAGCAGGGCTGGGGGGTGTTTCACTCCCCATTGAGGTTTGGGGAGCAACGTACAGCCGCTGCTTTCTGCTTTTGTCTTTTCCCCCAAGCCTTGAATTTCTTTTGTCTAGTGATTGTTAAATGAGCTAATATACAAGTATTGTAGTTGGAAGGGAAAATGCAAGTTTTATGGAAGTGTGGGGTTTACTGCAGATAGATTTTAATGTGGGATGAAAGGTATTACAWAAGTACAGCTCCAACTTGCAGGTTTTATGTCTTTCTGCCCACTAGCTCTGATTTGGTTTGTTTTTTGGTTTTTTTTTTCCCCTAGTGTTTGAATAGGTTGTGGTTTTTTTGTATAACTGGATAAATGTAATAKACAAGGAATGGGGTGGGGAGTTCTAAATATTTTGTGCTATGCAGAGGCAATAAGTATAATGATTTGTTTATTTAGTAGCTAAATTTTAAAAATAACACAGAAGAAAACCTATTGTATCTTAAACGTTTTTATGACAATAATTACTCCAGAGGTTTGACTGGTTGATCCTTAATGATGGGTAGTCCTGGTAATGTTAGAAAGCAGAACAGAGACATTTTAATTAAAAAAAAAATTGGAACTATTTATATGTTCTTTCAAGGCAAACAAACAAGAAGTGCCAGAATAAGCTTTCAAAAAGGAAGTTAATCAGAAAAGAAAAATAATCATTGAAATATTCCTTTGTGTAAAGCAATATCTGCTACAAACAGCAGTTTGCACGTCTTATTTAGAACGGAGGCAATAAGACTCTTGTCATATGTAGAATAAACTTCTTTTATATATATTTGTCAGTCTTGGTGTAGCTATATGCTCCATGTAGACTGCTACTTAAAAGTCACTTGATTTAATGTTTGTGAGTTTTTTGATTGATTGATTTTGGTCAATGTTTCTTGCAAAAGCATACCCTTTAGGAAGACAATCTGCAGCAAGTGGAAGTATACCTATGTAGGTAACATGGATGGTAGACAGGAACATAATTTTTTTGTTTGTTTTTTCCAATAAATGTTGGCTTGTTATCTTTAACCGTAGTGAAATATGTTAAAACTGAGTGTCCARCTTTCATTCTTGATTGCTGTTCTGGATGTTTCTATCACTCTAGTTGAATCCTTCATGCATCAAACCAACCTGAACAAAATAAAACTATTTACTACTGAAGGACAAACAGTAGCCCAGCATCAGACGAGTAGCATGTCACTGCTTGAGTTTTTTTTTTTTTCTTTTTTTTAGTAAAACAACTTTATCCCTTCAGCAGTTTGAACTTTGACTTCTTTCAGTCTCTGCTGAAAGAGCCACTGGAAAGGGTCTACTCCTTCAGGTCTGGTTGACAACAGCTTTAGATTTAAGAGGTTGATAGTCTGTGTCTTATCTGTTGTTTCCAAAGGAATCATCAGCTGAATTTTCAGTAGTCATAAATTCAGTGTGGGAAATCAAAATAAATGCTTAGAAGTATTTTTCAGTTGCTTAAGTAAATAAATAATTTTTTAGGATTGTATTAATTGCTTAGGGGTAACTGATTTCATATACCCAGMCTCCACTGAATAAAATCCTGTACATAAGAACATGTGTTATTCAGTGTACTGTTAAATATGAGATGAAAAATATTCAAAGCTGAGAAGATTAAATCCATTAGCTAGGTGACTTATATGTTCTTTATGTACTTCTTTCCAAAGCAGTAAGACAGTTCTGATGAACTAATAATTAGKTTTTTTTAACAAATTAGTTTTTCAAAAACATGTCTCTGTATCTGCAGTGTTCCTCTGGCACCTTCTTTTTTTCTCTGATTTCATTTCATGCTTCAGTCTTGTTATTAAGATATCATGCTTTTCAGTACTCGGCTGTTGGGTTTTCTACTGTTCTCCCCAGTGTTTTATGTTGCATGAACAAAATAAACTTACGCTTTCTTTGCATTTTCTTAGAAACTGCTTCAATTTCTCTTTAAGATACTATAAGTGAACATGTAAATATTGAAACTTAATTTGGCCTTTTGATAATAATTAAGACTCAGGTAATTTGCCTTTTTTAATAATTTAGCGTTAATGTCTGTGAAGGTGCACATGATGAGCATGTGTAGTGAAAAATTCTGATTAGGTATGCTGTGGCAGACCTGTGTAAACAGCAGTCAGCTGGTGTTGTGATGGCAAATCCTTTAAAATTGTTAAATCAAAAGTTAAGTATTCTTGCTTGTCTTGCAGCTGTTGGGTGATATTGGTTGTAGATGAGTTCAGAGGCACTGGGTGTACAGAGACCTCTGGCCTTTGATTAGGGAATTCAGGTTTCCTGTGAAAGGTAGAAGAATTGAGAGATCAGCTTAAAATACATTCCCTCCTTCAGTTTTTTTTTTCTTTTTCTTTTAAATAAAGCACATGCATGGATTTAATCTTGGCATAGCACATAATTTGCCTCGAAGATAATTTTCTGCATTGAAGCTGGGCTGTCTTTAGCACTGAGAGTTTATATAAGTGGATGGAAAATGATTTAGCTTGCTGCTTATGCCCCTGGCACTTCTGCCCTTACTCCCTTCATCACTGAAGGATCTATTTTTATGTAGTGGATTTTAGCTGGGTGACAAAGGGGAAAATCAGAGATAATCGATTTGAAGAGAGAGAGTAAGGCAAGGTTTATGCTGCAAATGCTGGTAACTTAGTATTCAGAAATTCAGAGCTAGTTAAAAGTGAGAAATCCTTAGAAAGTAAATGTAAACTAGAAAAACAATCACATTTAATTGACAGTTTGATGAGATGACTGCATTTTTGCACATACTTTCAACTACTCTGTCAATTGCAATTTTAAAGCAAAGCAGGGGACAGTTGTTAAGACAGAAAAGTCTTAATGCTGATTCATTTCATAAAGTTTGCATGTGTTAAATTGTTTCTGTGGAGTCCTCTAGTTTTCAGACGCAGATCACTGATTTGATAGTAGTTAGCTGTTCACTAATTGTTATACAAATGTTACATGCTTAATGTTTGGAATTTATTATTTTGTTTCTACATTTATAAACTGTCTAATACATTTAAAAAATTTAAGAAATACCCTTTCATGTTGTTGCTAAGGTTTGAGGATTTTAATTTTTTTTTTTTAGGGCTATATTTAAGTTTCATATAGCTTGCACAGGTTAATATTCTGCCAGCATAAGAGRATATGAAGAAAACCTTGCTAAATTATTTAAAGTTTAATGTTCACTTGGGAATATGGTCAACTGCTGGTGTCAAAGTCATTGTTTGTGACTGAAGCACACATCTAACCAAATAGTTTGCCATCCATTGCCATTGATGATGGACCTGTGTTTTTTTCAAGGGAAAGAATTTTCATAATTCTTGATTCAACTGTTTTACCCRCTTTTCAAGTGTTTTTAGTCTAAAGCACTACTAATTTACTATATTTACTCATCAGCAAGTTTAACTTTAACTTGCTGGAGAGCAATTTCTGCTCATATATTATATTTCTGTCTGTTAAGAACGTTTTGCCTTATGGTGTCTTCACATTTCCAGGCTCCACATAAGGCTCCTTTAATGGGGAAAAGGACAGTTGTAGTGCTGGGGGGCAGGCAGCCGGGCTTTAAGTGCAAGTTTTTGAAAGTGACAATTGAATGAGCAATGTCTGTAAAAAGCTTGAATTTAAACTAAAAAGAAKTGTAATCAAGACATAGAGTAGAAACAAGCTAAAAATAAGAATGTCTACTTTATCAGTAGTAATTTGACTGAAAACACAAGATGACATTATTTGGTGACTTACTTGAAATTATATGGTTTACTTTAAGAAGTGGAAAAAATAACCATTGGAGCTTTCACAATTGCTCATCATAAAATTGTTATAAAGATGACAGTTGGAAGCAGACTAAATGAAATACTGAAGAAATTAGCTGCTGAATGTCTTTACACTCAGTATTTTTAGTGATTCATCTTGCAGAGCCAACATTTCTGTGAAAGCAGCACAAATTGATAACTGCTGTAGATCTGACGTAGAACTGCAGCATTGGAAAAGTGACAGTGAGTGACTAATTAGAAAACTGTTTACTAAAGAGCATAAATTGTACTATGGCTTATGCAGATAAATTATTTGGTTTCAGTATTGCCTTGTAATGACTAAYTGTAATTCAAATGAGTAAGGGTTTAAACCTGTTCCCAAACTTCTGTGTATGTGGGAAGATGTGAGTATCCAAGTATSTGGAATTGGAGTTCAGGGTGGATATGAATGGAAAACAGAAAGTTTACAAAAACTTCATTATGTAATTCATAACACAAAGCTTTTAAAATTGTTCTTTGTAAGGTACARATGCATGCTTTTGTCATGMTGTACTCAAATGAAATGCCTTCAGSTGAGAGGTGACTTAAAGGATGRGCTCARTATTGTTTGCTACAAAGATTTTACGTGCTGGCTGAGCTATATCTCATGGTTTCTTGTATAGTTTTGGATGCCTTGCAGGTTATTAAAACTTTTATTGTATTCAGTTAACAATAGCCTATTCCAAAAATTAAAGAAATCTGTGAGAAATTGTTAATGAMGTATCAAATTTATTTGTATACAAGTATTACTAAAAGTTATTGCTGTATTTGGAATACATTTCCATTTCAAAGGATTCAAGGGACATTTGACTGAAAGTATAGGAAGCTTTTAATAAAAAAGGCTGAATCTCAAAGGTTTCAAATGTTCATTGCAAGTTTAAATTGACATTGTAGCTCAAACGGTTTCGTTTAACAGTGTGTATGTTGGAGGGGAGGTTAAGCCATCTTAGGTATTTTTTTATTTTCAATGGGAAATAAAGTCATTTGGGAAAACGTTTCAGTTGTTACAGTTTGAAACCRTTTATAGCATTAGGCTTGGCAAATATTTGCCTTCATTTTGGAAAGGAGCTGGCATTTATATTGTGTTTGTTTTTTTGCCACAGTGTAAAGCCATCCCCRGCCGAAGGAGTCAAGTCCAATCCATCCAAGAGACACAGGGACCGCTTGAATGCGGAGCTGGATCGCTTGGCGAGCCTGCTGCCTTTCCCTCAAGACGTTATCGCCAAATTGGATAAGCTGTCTGTGCTTAGGCTTAGCGTCAGTTACCTGAGAGCTAAAAGTTTTTTTGACGGTAAGCACTGGGAATTTATTTGGGTTTGAGCTGCTTGTAAAAATCAGTTTATACTTTATGTTGATTTCAGCTGTTTAAGTACTTAAAGCTGTAAAATTTATCTGTATTTTAATGGAGCCTCCAGTTGAGTGAGTATATACAATGTAACTGTATAAAGTAAGCTTTCCACTTTCTTGAAACCAAATGTAACTACTTATATTTCACTTAGGTCACCAGTCTTTCAAAGCTTTGCATTTGGAAGTAATATTGCCCTTAATGAGTCCTCCAGWCCTTTTCATCAGACTGTCAAAGATACCCAAGAGATTTCTCTTTTCCCCCTCTGAAAATTGCCTTTGTAAAACTATTACTGATTCAAARTATGTCRTATGAGTTCCTATCCAGCTGTATTTTTCTTAATGATGCATCAAAAATGACTTTGCTTTGATATAAGGTAATTGATAGTGCCCCTTCCTATATTTTMTTGCAAAGGTGACTTGTAAAGAATAGAGACAAAGTCTTTCCTCCGTTCAAGCCCTGATTAATGCAGGAGATGAGGCATTAAAACGCCAGCTAAGGTTCTCCAGTTATGTGGGCAGGTGTGCACTGTCTCCAGCCCTGGCAAGGGTAATACAGCAGCACTCAGAGTAGTCATAGGGTCAGAAGTGTGTGTCCTTGGTCACCTCAGGGCTGGCCGAGGAGTCCTGTCTCCTCTCCTTCACTACCCGAACTGCTCTGTGGGGTGAGATGTGTTGGTTGGCTTCATGCCAGCTTCTTCAAAGGCAGAAATAGTCTGATCCTTTCATTGCAGGAATAAAGCAAGGAGCTTATATTTAATTAATTTTCATTTTCTTTGACCAGTCAGTGAGATTTTACAGTATTATATTGAAGATGAAATTTTATTAATCAGCTATAGCTGAAGAATCTTGATTGCAATAGAGTTGATAGTCAATTTCAAGTTGTTTTTTAAACTGTTTTGGAGACTAAAATATACTCTGTCTTCATCAGTTTAAGATAGTTTCAGCCTCCATAACATGGATGAAAGGACTCAAGAAACCTAAGTGTCTAAGATAGTTCTGCTTTTTCCTGCTGGAGGAAAGAATGTTTATTTTCATTTACTGTGTGAACTGTCTTCAGTTTATTAATGCTTATAAATTTATATTCTGTTTTATTGCTTGAAGAATATGTTYAAGTGTCTTGAGTCTGTGTTCAGGACAATTCTTAGTATTAAGTCTACACTAAGGSTAGAGCTGGTCAAATATTTCTAGCAGTGTTTTTTTCAGCGGAAAATATCTTTTGCCATCAAATRAGAGATCTCTTGGCACATCAGTTTCATTAAAATCTTTGCAAGATGTTATCTCAGGTAGACTGCTGTAAAAGAGATTGTTTTGCTTGTCTGKATTCTCTTGGTGAATTGAAGAAGTTCTAATCTCAATGAAATGGGTTTTGTTGTGGTTTTTTATATTGTGTTTTCTGAAATAAATCCAAGATTGAAAGTTTTTTCTTATTTGGGATGGAGTGATAATAGCAAATCTGAATTTCTCATCTCAATTTCTCATGCAATGGAAGTGCTTGATTTTTATTCTTCCTGCCTCTCCCCTCCAATTTGCACTTGAAGGTCCTGGAATGCAGGAGTTGAAGGCTAAGATTTCTGTACAGGAAATAAAATCATGGCTTTAGCTGTAAAGAGACATCCAGAATTCCTTCACACCAAAATTTATATCAATTGCTGATTTGTAATTTGAACATGATGGCRGCTTTCAGCCATTTAGAGTGGTGATGAATTAGGTGTGCATTAGTGGCAGAGAAGTTATATTTGTATTTCAAGTTGCCTTTTAACTTTGGTGGACCCAGAATTGAAGCAAACTTAACTCATGTTTTTAACTTAGTAACATACCATTAGGATTCTATCCATTTCAGGCAAACATATGCAASTATGCTGCCGTACTGGACCACGTCTGTGGTCTGCAGGGCATTTATTTATGTTACAATAAMTTAATGAGCAGAATTCTGATTTGCCTTGTAGGAAAGGAATTTTCAGGGTGCACTACAGGAGAATATTTTTCCTTTAGTCTCTATAATATAAAAACCTGGTAAATTTGAAAAGATTAATATTTGATGTTGTTCATCTTGTGCAAGACTTTTTGAACATTGTAAAGTGAAGTATATTTAATTTMTACCGTCAAACAGAATAACTTCAGTAGAAGTTGTCTTAATGGGTTTTATTAACAGAAAAAGTCTTCCTGAAAAAGTCTTACTTCTTTTCAGGCCTTTGTACTGTATGACTACAAATCAGGTTAGTCATCAGTCTCCATCTGCAGGTATTTAAAGACTAACTTCAATGACTTAAGTAAAGATAAATAAAAGTAACCAATTTAGGACTGACAGACACAATAGAGAAAATTAGATCTTTATACTATTTTAGTCTTCCTAAATAACATGGACTCTATTTCATTGAAATTCACCTTCAAAAAGAAAAATTAGTGCTTTGAAGAACAGAATTAACAGAAAACCCCTGGGTTTGATTTTCATGATCTATCTATGCAGTGCTTCTCAGGAAGGCTTTTTCAAAGAAGTGTTTTGTGAAGTTGAAACCCTGTAGAATAAATCTGACAAATGCAAGAGTGAGCACTGATTGTCACCTCCAGTGCCTCAACTGAGCCAAAGCTCCACTTTATTAACGCWGCATGCTGAAGTGAAGGGAAACGCTAAATGAATAACAGGATACAAATGGGGGGGTGTGCAAATTCCTGCGGAAAGTAAAATATAAACGTGTAATCATATGATCTTGCTTGAAAGGAAACTCAAGTTTTTGCTGTAACAATAGATTTTTTTTTCAAAGAAAACACTTGCATTTTTCCAAGTTTAAATAATCTATAGTGAATGTCTGTTTTCTGAAGGCGGAAGTCTGGGGGGAGAAAAAGAACTGTTTTGTGAAAGACATCTGAAACAGTTGCATCAATTTGAATAAATGTGTCTCACTTCAATGTCTACAAGGTTTTTTTGTTGTTACTGAAAGTTAGTGTGTGTGTGTATATATATATATATATATATATATATATAAAGTGTATATATATATATAAAAAATTAAAAAAACCACCACCAAAAAACTGTCTTTCCCAGAGTCTAGTCATTGAGATGGTACAGCCATTAAGATGGTACAGTCATTAAGTGGTACAGAATGTTCTCTGGAGCTAGAGAGAGGTGAGTTTTCCTGTAGTGTCTACTGAAATAGGGTAGACCTCTGAATGCTTGCCATATTTCAGGACGTAGAAAATAGGTGTTTGCTTTTTTCTCTTCCCCAACACTGAAAGATCTAACTTTCTTGTGTGACAAAGTTCTCTAACTTTCTTTTCTGTGACAGTATTCTGTTAAGCAGTTTCTTTTGATTGTTGTTCTTAGAGATGTTCTTGTTTTGCCAAGTGGCCCTTTAGATACACTGGTATAGTGTGGTCAGGTTAGTCTCAAGTCTCCATGATACCAGARGACTTTCTGTATCCTCATGTTGAGCATTCTGGCATGCTTTTTTATGTACAAATTTGACTTTGACTCAAGAAGGAAATTACAGTAGTGGATTAAAATAATGTGTCTCAAGTCTGTTTCTTTATAAAGTCCTGTGTGGCAAGTCAAAGCTAAAAAGTGGTTTAGGGTGGTGTCGCTTCTCAGCTGTGCAATGCTACCTGTTGTATGAAGTGGATTAGCAGCTCTCRAAGTCAAGCAGGTTAGCTTAAATCACCACTGGAGTGTTTATTTTGTGCATGTAAGATACTTTTCTGAAAGGGGCTTAAGGCAAGCTTTTTATTTTTAAGAGRCTGTGATGAATCGGGCAGGTGTCTGCTGATGATCAGTAAAGACTTTATGTGTTGTCCTGGTATTATTTCAGTTCATTTTATGTTAAGTGCCCATGCATGTGTGCATTCAGCAGTGAAAAATATAAAGTGGAAAATGGGACAACAGCTCTTTGTGTGGATGAAGGTTAGTGTGAGCTCAGCATCTGGAGCACAACTGGACAATCATTTAGGCACAGCCTGTGCTCCCCATGCATGCTAAAGGACAAAACCCTTTTGCCTCTAGGTTTGGAGTTTATATGATGAATTGATACTCACTTAAATACTTTACTGCAGTAAGGAAAAGCATTTATAATTGGTCTTCTTGGGATTTTRGTGAAATAGAATTAATGGTTGAAAAGTAGAGTTTGTATGAATGATCACTTTTTTAATGTTGGGGTAGGATTTTTCATCTTAAAGGTGTACTGAGAATCAAGGAGAGGCTTGCAGAACCGAAAATGAAGTAGCGGTGCTATGTGTGCGTATCAATACATTAGAAACAAAATTCAGCATGTTGCTCATTAATTGTCCTTTCATCCCTTTCACTAAGAATTCCTGTGGTTTAAAGTACGTGGGKTTTTTTTCCCCTCTTGCTTATTGGGCAGTATTCTGCATTTATAGAAAAAAGTTTCCRCTCAAAATTAGTTTAGAATTGGTTTCTTATGTTGGATGCTAGTGATTCTGGCAAGCACAGCAATAACAAAATAATTAAGATTTTTTTTTTACAGTAAGTTAGCATTACTTTTTTTTTTTTTTTTTATTTTTTTAATGTAATTAACATTCCTTGGCATAGTATAGCTGAAATTTGCAGTGCAGCCATTGTCATCACATAAAATATGTTCTTGATAATGTATTTTTCCTGCAATGCCCACTGTTCTATTGTACCATGTGCTGGAGAGAACAGACTGCATGTGGCTCCTGTTCTGGAGGGTATGTCTAAGATGTAYAAATGGGAAAGACAGGCAAAGTGGGAGACAATGCGTTTATTCTGTCACACTGAGAAGGGCAGTAACACATTTCCAGTCTACAGATTAGATAACCTTTCTGCCAAGTGTCAGGTGGTGGTCTGAAACAGAAACCTGAAAATACAAAAATTATTAAAACACAACCCAGTAAGACCAGGATAATAAAAGCAAGTCAGGACAGATCTGCTGTATTTTAGACAGTCAGCATCTTTWCCTGCTGTGTCTGTCTAAT